TATGTTAACACTGTCCTGATTAGAAATGCTTTCTGTCTCTGAGAAAGGACAGGTGCCAACCCCTGGATGCAACTTTAATTTCAAATAAATATGCTGAGCATTGTTATCCTAGTGTGTAAACTGTTTTGAATCAGACGTGTGAAGTTGATCATGATTATTTCCATTTCACAAATGAGCAATTGAAGCTGAAATATAGTGAAAAGTCAGAACCTAGCCCATAGTTCCACTGTGGAAGTCATATGCACATCTTTCAAGTCAAAGCCAATAGTCTCTTCACTGTACTCACTTACATTAGAAGAAAAGTGAATCTTTATCACTTTTTTCCCATTCAAAATGTCTCTACCAGAGAGCATGAGGCAACCTTGGCTATATCGTTCAATCCAGCTGGTCTTTACAGAACCATGATGTATAAAACTGGATAATACAAGTGGATTTAGGGTGATTGCAAATGTTGGTGATTATAAACATATATTAAAAAACTGCTTTCTAGTTAACCAAAGAAGCTCTCAAGAAGTAGAGAGCTTCAGAAGCTGAGATTCTTGATGAGCTGACTGCTAATCAAGAGGGTCTCTCCTCTTTTGCCAGATTAGATGCCAATATGTCGTTTGCTTTACAGAGTAAAGCTACCTTTACCTTCTAGGAACAAGGACCACTGAAGCTGACGCTGACAGTACTATGTTTAAATAAATAAAGAAATTTAAACAGTACTATGTTTAAATAAATGTTGCAATGGGTTGGATCCAGACAAAGTTGGCTGAGCTTAGTTCTCATGTAAATTAATTGTGCCATTGAATTAAATGGGACCTGACTTCAACTAACTTACAGCTTGAAGCACATTTAGCTGAGGGTCTGTGTAAAGCTTGGCGTAAGCTAGAGCCATGGTTCCCCATGGACCACATGAATATTGATTATGGTTTTGGTGGACCACTTAATGATTTCTCTGCCTGTTGTAGCAGTGGTAATGCTCTGTGCTAAATGCTGTATGGTTTTTGGTTGAATTCAAATTGTAATACAATAAAAGAAATAAAAGAAGCAATAAAAATACTATTTGAAATCAATATTTAATGCGGACATGCCACGGATCACCTGAGTGAACCTCATGGACCACTGGTGGACCATAGACCACAGTTTGGGAACTCCTGAGTTAGAAGAAGAGCTAGATCTAATAGAATGTGAATGGATATGGGAAAAAGCAGTTTCCACTGTCTTTGACTTAGCAAGTTTCACACAGAGTTGGAAGAGACCCTGAGGATCATCGTCCAATGCCCTGCAATGCAGGAATATGCAGCTGTCTTGTACAGGGATCAAACCTGTAACTTTGGTGTTATCAGCACCATGCTCTAACCAACTGAGCTATCCAGGCTCTGCTAGAACACTGCTGCTTGAACCCTGACCAGTTGGGACTATCCCTGTTTCAGCAGAATGAGCTTAACTTAACTGAGTTTTAAGATGTGATGCAGAAGTTACTGGTGAAGATAGTCCATGATGGCTGATCTTTTATTTCTGCAAAGAGGATACTCTTCAATCTGCCAACAATAGTCTCTTACATTTTACACATCACTGTTCCCCATTTGACAAGATTGTACAAAGATGTACAAAGACAAGATTGTAATTGGCACGAAGGTCAAAGGCCATGAGGGGTTCTAATAAACAGAACACCTTCCATTGAGCTGGCACCTAATTAATAATAATAGGAGAGACAGATGTTTCCTGATACATACGTTGAAAAGTGAATGTATCCACTCTAAGTTGCTGCTGGCTTATGCTATCTATTAGAAGTACAGTTCTGCTGAACACAAAACACCAGCCAGCTCTTACAGTGTATTACTGTATTTTGTCTACAAACTGTTAATCATCATGGCACATGAAACCATTTAAAAAAAAAAAAAATTACATTGTTGCTTATTCATCTGATAACTTGCTTTTCGTTGTTCTTCAGCATCCAGATCGGAAGTCTTTCATTTGTAGAAAAAAATGTTGAGCGGTAGCCAAAATACAAATAACAATGATAACAAAACTACATTCATCTGGGACAGAAGCAAAAATCACAATCCTTTTTGTTTCTGGATGTATGCCAACAAAAGCTGCTTTTTTACCATGGGTTTCTCATTCAGTAATACAATTGAGTGAAAAGCAAACAGAATCATTAGGCAGAATCAGGTATCTGGCTGACAGATAAAGAACAGAAGAGTTTGCTTGATGAAGCCAATGGCCCATTTAGTCAGCATCCCGTCTCACAGTGGCCAGCCAGATGCCTGTGGGAAACCCACAAGCAGGACCTGAGGACAACAGCACTCTGCCTCCTGTGATTCGCACCAACTGATATTCGGAGGTATACTGACTCTTGACAGTGGAGGTAGAACATGGCCATCATGGCTAGTGTCTGTCAATAGCCTTGTCTCCCATGAATTTGTCTAATCCTCTTTTAAAGCCATCCAAGTTGGTGGTCAACACCATGAGGGCAAGTTCCATAGTTTAACCATGTGCTGCATGAAGAAGTACTTTATTTTATCTGTCCTGAACCTTCCAACATTCATCTTCAGTAGATGTCTACTAGTTCTAGTGTTTACAAGAGTGTGAGAAAGACGTTTCTCTATTCATTTTCTCCATACCTTGGAGAACTTCCATCGTGTCACTTCTTACTCGCCTTTCCTCTAAACTAAAATGTCCCAAACACTGCGACCTTTCTTCACAGGGGAGTTGCTCCTGTGATGGAGGAACACTCAAGAGAAGTTTCTACCACCCACTTTCTTGCTGCTGGTGGGTCATACTCTGTAGTAGTTGCTGCTACCACCCTCCCACTTACTCTTGCATCCCAGATGGGAGAGGAATGGATATATGACTCTTGATGGGAATGTTTCTTTTTAAAAAAAAAGAGGAAGGAGGAAAGTAAATTTGAGTATTGCACTGTGTTTGTCACTTGAGCTGAGGGAAACAGCTGGGACCACTAGAAGGGGTCTTCCAAGCAAAGTACACCAAGGATAAACCATCTTGTGGGAAAATGAAAAACTTTGAGGATGAGACGGTAAATAGTTCAAGGGAACTTCTGGCAGGGACAGATGGCATTCAAGCAGCCAATTGGTAAAAGGATCTAGTCGAGAATGCTTGGCAGATGGAGAAGAGAAAGGAGAAAAGTAAGCAAAAGTGTAGTGAGCAGAACTGAGAGAGGGGAGAAATAATGGTGCTTCTTTCTCTCTTTTTCCTGACATGAAAGCTTGATATTTCATGGACAGACATATTTGCTACCTGTTTGCTTCCTGTGCTATAATCATAAAGCCAAAATAGAGGGGGCTTTCTCATTTTACCAATAATATTTACTTTTTAGATCCTTTGATAAGTCTTTCAATTTCTTATTGACACACAAACAGAACTTTCCCCTTGATTTGTCTCCAGTCTCTTGTTATGATCCGTTCCCTGAAGTATCGTGATGTGCACATGCTGTGATCTTTTTCTCAGGAGAGTATCAGTCAATCAATCAGAACTTGTTAAATGTCATTAGTGCATTCAGAATTTGTCCTATCTTTTTTAGTTTTACAAAGGGTTGTGTGTATTTTTCTTGGAAAGGCTGTTTGCAAGGCCTTTGTGTTTTTGTAGGGTCATGCAAATCAGCTAAATATAACGCTTCCCAGCTTCATTCAGCTCGTCTTTGCATATTTTCCCCACAGCTGCAATTGCTCAAACTGGCTGTCCGAAGTCTCCTCTCTCACATGCATATGCAAAGCAGCTTTATAAACAGCAACACTTTAAAATCCACTAAATTTGGCTTAATGAAAAGGTAGCAGAGGCCATACCTTTTGACTTTTAATTATCCAAATACAAGATGCTTCCAGAAAGGTTGTTGCATGACCCTCCTTCCCATTTGCCCCGTAATTTTTTTATTTTGTACTCCTACCTCCTTGTACAAATCTTACACCTAAATATATGGTTTGCAGCTAAAATAGATTAGTAGTTTGCATGTCTGATATCTTATTCTGAACTGATTCTCATCAGTGGGTATTTGTTGTAAACTTCATAGTTAAATATTAAAATTACACAGTGTTGTCCTAGAATTGGAGCGCAGCCATTTTGTTTTTTAGCCTGTGGTTAGATCAGATTGTGTGTGTTTTCTGAATGACAGATACAGAAGGTTTATTCTTTATCCACTGCTAAACTATTTTTAACACTGCATTCTTCCCATTCTCTCTAGTTAGAAAAGACAGCCTTGAAAATGCTGAAGGGAACATTTCTTTGTTTTCTCTCTTTTGTCTGTGAGGTACATGCACAAATTGCAACTATCATAGCATATGCATAATTTTCTGCCACTAGGGGCTCAAGATCTGGATCGCATCCGTTTATCCACCTACAGAACAGCATGCAAGCTTAGATTTGTACAGAAGAAATGCAACTGTAAGTATGCCACTGGTTAATTCGAATTACCATCATTAATCTCATCTTCCACTTTAGAGTTGTGTTTGTTCCCCAGTTGAAATGCAAATAGGAATTTATTTTAATACGCAAGATGCTAATAAGAACACCTGGTTCTCCAGAAGAGCATGTTATTACACTACTGCTAATTATACTTTAAAGTTTAAATGTTTGCATGTGGATGAGGGTAAGAGAGAGTGGGTGGAGCTTTTAAAGCTTTTCCCTTATCAAAATGATGAGATGAACTATAAAATAAATAAAATCCTCCCCCTTTTTTTTTTGTTTCTTTTCAACACGATTAGATTTGTTCATCTTACCTCTAAGATTACCTTGTGCACCTGGGTGGAACTTATTTTAAGCATCTACAGTCCCAATAGATATTAATTTTTACCTTCAGAATTTTCATTATTAGAATGGAAAGCAAATTTTAAGTGGTAAATAAGTCATTATAACAAGCCATTCTTAAGAATGCTACATCCTCCTTATACCATTATTTACAGCTTTTATATAATATTTTGCATATTCTAGGACCAAAACAGCTCCTGAAATAATTAACATGGCGTTGATGTTGATATTTTTGTGTATGTATGGTGAGAGCCAGTGTGGTGTAGTGGTTAGCGTGCTGGATTAGGACTCGGGACGCCCAGGATTCAAATCCCCATTCAGCCATGAAGCTCACTGGGTGACCTTGGGCCAGTTACTGTCTCTCAGTCTAACCTACCTCACAGGGTTGTTGTGGGAATTATATGAGGAGCGGGGAACCATGTGTGCCACCTTGAGCTCGTTGGGGGGAAAGGTAGGATATAAATGCAATTAATACATAAAATAAATTATGGTCACTATGCAGATCTGAAGGATGTGTCACTGGATTTGCTAGAGGGAAAGCTCCTATATTGACTCTGCTTCCCAAATGGAATATGAGAATTCCTAATAAGTAAGATTCCCTGCACCGCATACCCTGTACTTAATATTGGCATATGGCTGAATCCAGTGATATTCTGCATGCCTGCTTGCCTTATTTAAAAAAACAAAAACAGAACTTATCTCTTTAGGTATTATTGGAGGATACAAAAAAGGGTGAAGGCAGCCAGCCTGCTTGCTTTATCAGAGCTGCTGAACTCAGTAAACCCCTTTGCTGTTGTCCTATACATGAGTGTAGCTGTACTGATCTGTTGTGTATTCATTTAAGTAAATAGAACTACAACAATAGCCGATAGGAGGCAAATGGGGCAAGTCTGTCCTGCGATGTGTATCTATTTCCATTCTAACAGGTTGCATGTGTATATCCAGCATCTAGGGTGGTTGTGTAATGGACAAAATGCCTTTATTAGTGAGTTGTTGCCAGTCAAGTACCTTCTGCCTTTCTCCAGACATGTCTCTGCCACATCTGTTGCTTTATACTGATGTAGTTACACTATATCCAATGATCATTCGCAATAGTACTTAAACACTAGCTCAGTGCCCTGGTCTGCGTTGCCTCATCAGTAAATGCCACAATTTGTAATGTTGCTGTGTGGTCTGTGTGCTGGATTTTACAAGCTCATTTGCCAGTGAAAGAACTCACATCAATAATTATATAGAGAGTCCTATGGCCTGATTATGTACCTATTTTTTTGTAATGGGCTTTACATTTTCAGTCCTTGACACAGGACTGCAGCCTAAGTACTAACATATTCAGCTGTACTCCATTGCTTCAAAGCAATTTGAGGATTTTTTATTCTCAGCAGGCAGCTAAAACGCACACCGCTCCTTAGCTACTTCCTTTTACTAGACTATAACCACTTTTATAAATCCAGGTTCACCCACAACTTGTACTCCATACATATCGCCAAGATTCTAGAAGAGTATTCTCAGCACACTGCTGACAAATGCACAAAAGTTATCTGCCATAGGATTTGGTGATGGGTGGCTTTAAAAGAGCTTTTGACTGTTCATAAACACCTAGTACTTGCAGTGTGTGTGTGTGTGTGTGTGTGTGTGTGTGTGTGTGAAATATCACATTGCCTTACATTTTTCAGAAGGTAAATTTAAAATTATTTGGTTTTCCAAAAGCAATTTATATGCTTCCTTATCAATTAGACTTAGCAAGCCAAGTTGTCCAGTCACAAAAACAACAGCAAATTTGAATTCCCCACACCCAAAAACATATTTTAAAGACCACTCATTGAAGAAATCTGCAAAAATTAAGTTTCACCCCCTAAAATGACACACACCTTACTGGTTCAGTGTTATGCCTGAACCAGGAATCGAGGTTTGTTTTGCTCAGACAAACCAGAGCTAATAAGCCTTGACTTGATATCATAATTTGCTGTGAGCAAAACAAACCATAATGTCCAGTTGAAATGTACCACTAGGTCAGTTATCAAATGCCACTATGCCATGGTTAGTTGCTCCTGCACATCCAAGGAGATGAGCGAAGTGAGAGCCAATGTCAGCTAATCCTTTGGTATAAATACAACATATTTGGCCCTCCAGATGTTGCTGAACTACAACTGCCATCATCTCTGCCCATTGGCCATACTTGTTGAGGCTCATGGGAATTGTAGTTCAGCAACATCTGGAGTGCCAAAGTTCCCAACACGTGAAATAAAACAGATCTAGGAAATACACAGTCATCACAATATAATTTTACTGCAGTATTTGAGGTTGGTCATGCAGCTTAGGTTTAATGGATAGGTAGTTGAAGCAAGGAGTAGATGCCATTCATGGTTATGGAAACACATGTCAAAACTTCAGTAAAGAACAGTTAGGGTTCAGTAGTTTAGGTGCTAAGATAGCAGGATCATGAACAACAGAACTGAGTCAAAAATGGGAAGTGTCAGCTTCTATAGCCTGAAGCACTGTATGAACACCAGAATTCTGGATTTCCAGAAATACCTTCTTCCTCAGCATAAAATGTTTCATTTGCTGAAAACTACAGCTTTTCGTATTTTATTACTTGTAGCAGTTATTAAAAAGCATTTAGGATGATGAAATCTCAAGCACACATATGATCTCTCTGTGGACCACAGCAGCGGAGGCAGAGCCTAACAACATACCATAATCAAAACTCCATTATACAATTAAACTACTGTACGGCTGGAAAACAACCGCCATCCTTGATGGGCCTTACTCATTGTGCTGCATAGTTATTCTCCAGTGCTGGCTGTTGAAAAAACAAGGCTGCTGATTTCCCTAGATCAGAATAAACAGTTGGCAGTTGAAAACCTTGGATTTAAAGCCAGGCTGATGATTCTAATATGGGGTTTAATTAGAGCTGACAAACCGGGAGTTCATATCCCTGATGGTTTTTAATTTGGCACCTTGGGGGTTTCAGTGTTGTTTTTCTCCTCTGTTCTCTTTTGAATGAAATACTTTTTGCTGTGTCTCATCAGGAGAACAATACAGCTGTTTTCATGGGGAATGGCGTAGTGTGATGACCGCGGAGGCGACCTTGTTAACTTCCACGCCTTCCCCAACTCTAATCCTTCTCTTCCTCATACTCTTCTGCTCAGTTCAAATAGTAGCTAGGCCTCAGAGGCATGTAGGCTAGTCAGCTTCAATTTCTTACATACCTCGGGGCCTCTTTCTCTTCTGCCTGTCACTTTATGTTAGCCTTGTGTCCCACCCTGTCTAATGAACAATAATTCACATCTGTAAATTAAATGCAAATGCTATTAAAGATGTACTCACTTCAGATATTTTTAAACACATCGTGCTCAGGGCCAGCCTCACATCAGTGGCTATTATATCATCAAGCCGGCAGCAAAGGAACTAGAATCAGAGTGTTAGACTCAGATGCAAAAATGAAGTTCCAATATGGATTTGCAGCCCCTGCTTTTTAAACCAGTTTCCTAGGTACTGTTCAATCCTATGCAGTTCTGAAGCAAATAACATTTATGTCACTTGCACTCAGCTCACAATAGGACAGGATCCTTGTTCTCCAATTTACTCGCATTCCTTGCAAAATCAGTGGTTTGTCTTTTGTTGCTAAAGGGATGCAGTCAAAATAAATGAGCATAAATCCAAGGTGATGGGGGCTAAGCTGTGTGGCAGGTGGTGAGGATTTGTGGCATTCCTGTTCTAAGTTCCACCATACTTTAAAAGTTATAATCTAACATCACCATTACAGTATAATGACATCAGTAGTAATTTCTTTTAACTTGTGCCATCCTGTTCTCTGATTACCTAGTTCTTTCATTTATTTACTATGCCTCTGTTTTTGTGACCATCAAATAATCTCATTTTCCTCTCTTCCCTGAAAATGTCTTTGTTTTGGATTTGCAAATCATCTTCACATTGTGTAAGATTAAAAATATCTGTTTAAGATACCCAGACTCTTACTCCACCTAGGGGGTTCAGGGAACATCATCTAAAATTGGTGTTGCCATGTTTCAACAGAGTATAAACTTATATATAAATGTCAGTGTGCATAATATTTTACCCAAATCCCATTTATTTCTTGCTTTTCTAATTTATATTATTTCCATTTATTGCTGATGGCCCAAGATACTTTTGTGTTAACCGAAACTGTTCCTCTATTCTATTGCTTGCTACTGTCTTCCAGTGCATTTGATGATGCAGCATACAATTTTGCTGAGGTGCTACCGAGGCAATAAACACTGGATTCAAGTATTAGTCAGGGAATGGGGATGGATGGGTGAAGTATCAGTAGAGAATGATGCAGTGTAACTCTAAACATATTTATTTGGAAGTAAGTATCTTTAAAGTCAGTTGGACTTCTTGGAAAACATTGTTAGCATTGAACTGTTAGGGACTCACAGCTTTACAAACATTATTTGACTACCATATAATCTGCAGCCGAGTTTACATTTATTCTAGTTACTTCAAAATATTCCTTTAAATCACATAGATTTTCTGAATGTGGGTTGGATAAGTTTGCCAGATAGAATTAATTATGTTATTGATAATGTACTGTAACAGTAATTGAGTGGTACATATGCAACTGAGCATAATGATGTATACAATCCAAAATGGACAGGTGTCAATTTCAAAAAGATTGAACCTACCCAACAAGATGTAGCCCAGTGGAACAGTGTGATTTGAGTGTACAGTGGTACCTCGGGTTAAGTACTTAATTCATTCGGGAGGTCCGTTCTTAACCTGAAACTGCTCTTAACCTGAAGCACCACTTTAGCTAATGGGGCCTCCCGCTGCTGCCGCGCTGCCGGAGTATGATTTCTGTTCTCATCCTGAAGCAAAGTTCTTAACCCAAGGTACTGTTTCTGGGTTAGCGGAGTCTGTAACCTGAAGTGTGTGTAACCTGAAGCATATGTAACCCAAGGTACCGCTGTATTGAGTTGGTTTAGTAGCAAACAAAACATCAACCAAATTCCCCAGTAACCTTGAAGTTTACTGCTTCTTCAGACTCTAATGCTGGTTACTTTTCATAATGCAGTTTTATTGGTTGAGTTACAGAAACTTAATGTCTGGTTAACTCAAGTTCAGAATGGCACTCCTCTTCTTTTATTTCTGCTTGGTCAGTTAGTGTCTTGATTCTATTATTCATGTCTTTCTTATATATTAATGTTTCACTTTTTGTATCATTAGGCTGTTCAGAACTCATCCATTATCTTTGTAATCATCACAATTTTGTAAGTTAGGCTAGTATTATTATTCCCATATTACAGAAGTCGGGTTAAGGGCAGTGAGAAAAGCCTAAGGGCACC